CAATGATTTTGATCATGAAATTGCTCAACTCACTAAGCATAGATCAAGACCCCACCGACTTTTGAGCGGGGATATGGCTGGGAAGTCGAGGTTACCGGTTTCAACGATGAAAATGCTGGCCGGCCGTGAAAGTAATTATTCAGGGCGGGGAAGATTCTCGTTGGCAGATTGTTGCCATGTTTTGAGCCGGTATCTGCCCATAAATGGTCCTTGGGGGGTGGACCAGTCCAGAAGTCCTGCTTATGTTTCTCAATTTTCGAATGATGGTTTGGCTTTTGTTGCTGGATTTCAGGTATTGTAATTTATTAGCTTGATGTTATAATTCATTTTTCTTGTTGTGATTTTGAATTGTTCTACTTAAAAATCAATTTCCCAGTACTCATGCACACAACTGCAGTTTTGCAATCTTAATTTTCTTCTTTTTTTAATGAAACAGGGAGGCCATATTAGAATATATAATGTTGAAAAGGGATGGAAGGTTCAGAAGGATATCCTGACCAAAACCTTGAGATGGACTATTACCGATACATCTCTATCACCGGACCAACGTTATCTTGTGAGTTTATGATGTTTGGTTTGTTGAATAAGAAGGAGCTTGTCTATATAACTACGACTTTACAATCTGAACTTATTCTTCCTTTATGATATATGCATAAGTGTAAATACTGCATGGTCCTTTCTGAACCCATGTTTGTTTTAATGCCTGTTTTTGCCGATGGAGCATCATGTATAATTGTCATCTTTTGTAGTGATTTAACTTTTTTCTGAGTCTCTTAACTTAATTAGTCACACTTCTAAGTTGATAAAATTACAGGTTTATGCTAGCATGACACCGGTTGTCAATATTGTGAATGTGGGATCTTCGACGACGGTGTCAGTTGCAAATGTTATGGTATGTGAAACTAGTGGTCCTTATGGTGCTACCAGCTTTGAGTTTCATATGAATCGCTTACTAGTTTAATTGGTTCATCTACAGATTTGGTAATCAATAATGTCCCTGGGGATTCTTTTTTAACTAACCGATGATTTTTTTCAGCATAATCTTGTATGAATCTTTGTTGTCATCTTGTAAAGTAGGTTACCAAATCAACAATGTTCCTGGGGAATCTTTTTTATCTAACCGATAATGTTTTACAGCATAATCTTGTATGAATCTTTGTTATCATCTTGTAAAGTAGATATCTTTATCAATGTTACCAGATCACAAGATCTGTAAGATGTTTATCTGAAATTGGCTAGGGGTACTTGTCTTGGATGATCTGTTAAAGGTGATGGTATCTGAATTGTAGTATATGCTACCATCTGTTGAATCTCGAAGTGGAGATCTTCTGGTAAAGGAAAAGAAAGTAATCCAATTTGACGATGTTTACATTTCCAAATTATTGTTTTTCTTGGATAATCTATTATGGCATATTGATGACTTCAGATGTTACAGCTCACCCTATAATGCTCATTATAACATGAATTTGTACTTTTTGGAGGGTACAATTTTTTTAATCAATTGATTATTCACGTTTAATAGTCGGTTTCTTTGCTATGATGATTGTGTGCTACAAAGAGTCACTTTCTAGTTCTTACTAGTCTTTTTTTAGCATAAAAAACTTTCTTTTAATTCAGGAAGTTCATGAAGGTCTGGATTTTTCTATTGAAGGCGATGAGGATGAATTTGGAATTTTCTCAGTTAAATTTTCAACTGATGGGCGAGAGCTTGTTGCTGCAAGTAGTGATGCTTCAATATATGTTTATGATCTCCAAGCAAATAAAGTTAGCCTCCGAATACCAGCTCACCAGGCAAATGATCTAACAATATAATATACTCGAATTACTTCTTGATGGTGGTTTTGAAGAAATTTTTCATTTACTTTTAATTTTAAAGACACAGTCTCTCCCATACTAGTTCCTTCCCTGGAGACTCTGGATGGCACTTAAAAGCATCATTTGATTATTTTGTTCATTGTTTGTTGCAGTCTGATGTAAACACTGTGTGCTTTGCTGATGAGACCGGCCATCTCATATATTCTGGCAGTGACGACAACCTCTGTAAGGTAGGGTTCATCTCTGGTCTTTATATGGTATAAGATGTAGAAACCATGATTGCTTCATTGTATGGCACTCTTTTTTTTCATTTTTTTTGAACTCTGGCTTTCCTTATTGTAGTCGTTGAACTGTCACTCTTAAATGCTGTTACGTTTTCACAACATGTTCTTTGCTAGAGTTGCTCAAATCTTGAGATTCAATATTCCAGCCTCAAATCCTAAATTTGGTGCATAAGTGTTGTTTAACTAATGGGATGCTTTTCCTTTTTATGTTGTCATTATCTCTCTCATGGGTGTGGGGTTAAGTGCTTAATATGTTCTTTACTATTGAGCTATGAAGTCCCCATGAAGTTTAGGCGTTTCTATTTTCTTGCACAGGTGTGGGACAGACGCTGCTTAATGACGTACGGACAAGCATCTGGGGTCCTGATGGGACATCTTGAAGGTGTTACATTTATTGATAGCCGGGGAGATGGGCGTTACTTAATATCAAACGGGAAGGACCAGACAACCAAACTCTGGGATATAAGAAAGATGTCCTCTAGAGCCATGTAGTACGTCTGTATTACTTGTTTCCCTTTTCTGCTCATTTTAACTTATTGGCTTTCTGTTTGGTGCTGTAGAAATATGAAATTTACTGCTGTCAGCATGAGATAAGTCAACTTAATTTTAGTATATTGTCCTCCAATTATTTTGACTCTATAATATTCTAAAGTGTGGAAAATAGTTTTGTTGTATTTGGGCTAAGAATAATGTGGTTAAATTGATGTTTAATGCTTCAAGTTTATATGGTCTAAAAGACCGGGGAACATATAGTAGCGGAACGGAGGGCTATTTGTGAATAGTACTATAATTGATTTTGGAATATTTCTTGTTTTTAGTGAACCATTTATCATATTGTTTTGTCATATTAAAGCAGCTTTGTGAGATCAAGCGAGTACAACAGCTTCTATTATTAGAGGGTCTTAAGTTAATTTGAACCTGTCTGCTTGTGCTTGTCTCTGCACGGAATCACATTCTTGTTGAATAACTTTTGTTATTTAGATACTGTGGCTCATGGCCTACAGTCCAGAGTCTAGACCCTTTCTTGGTTAAATGTAATATTTTTGTGGTCTCTGATTTTCAACTTTCCAACCAGCAGCCCAAGGCTTACAGATCGTGACTGGGATTACAGATGGATGGAGTACCCAGCTCATGCAAGAACTCTGAAACATCCAAATGATCAGTCATTGGCTACATATAGAGGCCATGCAGTCCTGCGCACTTTAATTCGCTGTTACTTTTCTCCAGCATATAGGTAATTTTTATTTCTTTATTCTAATCCTGTATGTGGAATTTGTCGTAATAACTTTGTGCGAATTCAAAGATGCTGGAGTACATGTATTTTCCACAATCTTATTGGCTATTGTTTTGGATCTAAGGCTTCTGGTTTCATCTGATGATATCATATAATCAGTTGGCTGTGTTGACACACGGTTGTTTAGGAGTATCAGATGATGTTTCTAACTTTCTATTCTGCTCATTGCAGTACTGGACAAAAGTACATCTACACTGGCTCAAGTGATCATTCCGTCTATATATATGATCTGGTAAGTAACTGGCCTTTAATGTTTCTCATCACCAAGATCATGTTCTTCTCGTGTCATTCTGTTAAGGAAAATGTAAAGGGAATTCACCTGCCATCTGTTTTCATGTTCATTTCTAGGTATAAAATTTCATGTGCATTTCTACGAACCGTAAAAAGGATGTTGATACATAATTGGTTCGTTTTCAGACTAGTTAGGAAAAAAAAAGATGATTTGAAAAGTAAATGATGGTACGAGAGTTCCTTGTAGGAGAGCAAGAATCATGGTTGGCAGTCCTTCATGAAATTAACACTCCTGTTACTTTAGCCTGTAGGCTTGTTATTACTACAAAGGCCAGTAAAACAGGCCATCCTGCTCGCTTCAAACTGCTATATCTTGAGAACGTGATATTCGATCTCTAGTAATTTGTTTGTTTCTATAAAGGTAACCGGAGCTCAAGTTGCGAAACTAGATCATCATGAAGGACCTGTGAGAGACTGTAGTTGGCATCCTCTGTATCCCATTTTGGTCAGCTCGTCTTGGGACGGGACCGTCGCCCGATGGGAATTTCCTGGTGATGACCAAGTTCCCACCCTCGTGAGGCCGAAAATACGCCGGAGGAGAGGCTTCTATTGAAGAAGGCTCGTTGTTTTGCGCTTCACAAGATGATTTGGTATTAAATTCGTTCATGATTTTCATACGTTCTGTGAAGTTATACTGCATTTTTTTAAAGAACTTTTGCAGTAATTACAGAGAAATTATAAACTTTATATTGGTTCCTGGCAGCTTTGTAATAGCTGTCCACATGTAAAATATGTAATTTTATGTATTTATAATCGAATTATTGTTTAAAGTTTCACTCTTTCAAATAATGTATTTCAAACATTCATTCCAATTGTTGGTTTTTATAATCGATGAGGCATGTTGTAATTCATTAACATATCTGAAAATGTAATCTTTTTGCAGTAAACAACTTAACAACATACACGTTCCCCTCCCAACTTTTGCAAAGCAGAAAGCCTTATTGGCTTGAGGTCGTTCCCTTTTTATCTTGTAAGAGCTTTGCATGAATGAGGATCCTCTTCGGATTCTCTTTGTGTGGATCCTGAAAATCCTCAAATCGTGTCCGTTTATCGTACATCGTGCGGCTAGTTTTTGTTAAGTACTATTCATATTTAATTTTAAATAAAAATATTTAAAATGACTTCTGGTCGCACGATGTACGATGAATGGATACGATTTGAGGATCTTCGAGATTCTCACAAAAAGGATCCGGAGAGAATCCTCATTCCATCTGCATGGAGAGATACAATTTATGATGTAAAAACCACTACTACATCCTGTCTATCTTTTAAGGTAATGAAAATGATGTTTTTGAGAGCAGTCCAAGTGTGGAATAACGTAACTTAGTATTTTTTTCTTTCTTAAAAAAGAGATCAGCTGGTGGTTTCGTGACTGCATTTCACTGTTTTGGAGGCCAAAGAAACTCATAAAGACATTTTAACCTCCTGACCATTATCGTGTGATTCACATGCAAGAAAAATTAAACTTAATCTGAAATACGAATTTAAAATTCGCCCCCAACCATTGAGAGCTGATCGTGATCAACGTAACCATTGAGCGACTCGGAACCTCCCACCTCCTTACGCACACACCACCAAACAACAAAATCTATTTTCCTCGCCAACGCCAACTGACATAGCCAAAGCACCCAAGCAATCGAGAACACGAAAAGCAGACGAAAATGGCGTCGCCCGCCGCAAGGATCACCTTCCGCATAGTATTCGTGGCTCTGGTCGTTCTCGTCCTCTTCTACGTTGGCCGCCCTCTCTACTGGAAAATCTCCGCCACCATCCACGAGATCCGCCAAAACAAACAGACCGTTAAGCAAGGTAGCATTCCTCTCACTTCCCAATTTTTTAATTTTTTTGTTTCTGGGTGCGAATTTTTTCTGAAATTTGTGATTTTGGGGCCGAATTCTGTTCAGGTATATCGCAGATTGTTCTGGAAGCTCAGAAATCGGTCGGTTGGTACCACGACGAGTCGGATTCGGGTGCCCGCTACGATAGGGCCGCGAAGAATGTCGGGTTGGCCACGACCCGGAGGCTGCTGCTCCGCCAGGTTTCGTGAAATCCCTTGATTTTTCCAAAATTTACTGCTTTGTAAGACTGAGGTTTCAGTGGGTCTGTTCAAATCTGGTCACATTTCGAATGAATCGGTTAAATTATGTTGAATTAATGTGTTTAGGGAGTGAAATACTTCTTCCTGACACTACTAAATGTTAGAAAAGTTTGCACAACTGCAATGCTGGATATGTATCGGTTTCGGAATATATATAGAATTTTACTGAGTATGATTATATATATAGTATTTTGGGTTTTTTTGGTGCATTGGATTAGTGATTGCCTCTTATTTTGAATTTTGTTACACTTTTAATTTAACTTAAACCCAAAAAGGCGATGAATTGGATTATTCGGACGCTCTGGCTTGATTGCTTGTACATAGCATTCATCAATGATTCCTCTGCAAGAACAATTTCCTCCATTCTGCAAATTGTTATGTTACTTTCAGCTGATTTTGTGTTGTATTTGTTGAGGATACGCGTGTCGTCTTAGTCTTCAATGCTCAAGAACTAATGGTAATTTGGTTATGATCCAACAGATGATAATTCATTTGGATTTGGATAATTAGTTGTTTGATTTTGGTTCAATAGTGAATGAGCTTGAATTTCGTGTTCGTTGATGTTAGGATTCTAAGAACATTTAGGTTTCCCTGATTGTTTTGGGGATGTGTGGCCCGACTTCCTAAATCAAGTGAGTTTGTGGACCTCAAGGACCTCAACAAACATTATGTAGGGGTACATATAACTATACATATCCTCAAAGTTTAGTGAGAAGGTCTAAGATGTTCGAGTGTTCTTGTTTAGGCTACTACAAGTCTTGGACCATATTTACTTGTTTAGTGATGTAAAGCATCAGTAAATGTTGAGTATACCTCAAAACTTCCTTGGTTTGGATGAGGCACCTTTTGTGAATGATTTCATTAATGGTTTGTTTGCTAAACTGCGCTTAGAAGCTTCACTTCTTTCTGCAGTAGGTGTCCTGGTGTTCAATCTCTTATAGGGGTCGCATGTGTAAAACAGAGAGGGTAAGTGAGAATCTTGTACCTACACTGATATTCGATGTTAGAACTTGGACGGTATATTTTTGCAAGATTTTCTGTGCATAGATTGGTTAAGAAACTGAGTAAGCCAGTAAGAACTTCCTGTTGTAGGTTTATTTTCTTTAGCTAGCTGTTCTAACTTTTTGGGCCACTAGATTATGTTGTATTACAATTTCTGTAGGTTGCGGCCCAACCGAAGTTCTAGTTCTTCCAACTTCCTTTCAAATTCAACAATCAAACTGGCTCCCTAAGAATGGAATGGATGACTTAATTTTGTTCCTCTTTTGGGGCACGGTGTGAGTAGTCTTAGAACTTCGCTAAGGTCAGTCGCCCAAGCGCGCTATGATCATCGATCAAATTTGGGTTCCACAGTAATCTGCAGTCAGGAGTTGTGGCATGTGACCGTCAGCATGATATAGCATGGCATGAAGCAGGAGCCACGAGATGATCAAAGACTAATAAAAACGGGCCATAAGAGAGATTTGGAGTAATGGGACTTTGAATATCCTTAGTACATCAACTGGAAGTGCTTCTTGAAGAAGCATTTGGTATGTACTTTTCCATAAAGCCTTTCTATGATCCCGAAGCACTTTTTTGTTTTCTGTCAAATGCAGGCGAGAGTGCTTTTGGTTGTCATAAAGCACTTTTAGCATTTCCGTATGCAATTCCTACATGATACTCGAAGAATGTTATATTTTATCTGGAGGCATCTTCGCTCCGCGAACCTGGCTGCTATTGAAGCATAATCATCTTCTACTTCAATCACCAGCAACACAACCCTTTTAAGTTCTAATCCATTAAAATGATCTTCTCTTTCGTTATTATTCAAAATCAACCTATTATACATCCTGTAGTGGAAATTAAGACATCAGTGTGAGGTTCACTCTTGCAACCTAGACGATCTTCTTAAGTGAAATTGATTCATCTTCCATGGATTAAACTTTTAGTTTTTAGATTCAGGTTGTAAACTACGTGCGTGTGCTTGAGCGAATGTTCTTAACCAAATTTATGTTCACAATTATATTCACAAATTATTAAACATCAAGGAGGTAAAGAATATATATCCAAAATTGTTTTTTTTTTTGTGTGAGTAACATGATACTGACATGTATCTTTTGGAACTTGCACCTTATATAAATTATACAAGCCCATGTTAACACAATATATACTTTGTAAAGGTGGTTGACAATTCTGCGCAGATCTTATGCATCTTCAAAACGTCCAAGTTTTCCGATTCACATTCATACACACATGCATGCACCATACTTGTTCTGCTAGAATTTTCAAACCTGATTCTTGACATAAAACGGGGTAATGAGTAGGAATGATCAATTTTTAGTAACGACAACATTGTTGACTCAATGACGACATAACAACTACGAAACGATGATACAACGACAACATAACAAACACTAATTATTTCCTGCTAATTGTCCTAAAAAAGTTGAAAACAGAAGTATATAAAAAATGAATGGAGATGGAGAAACCCACAACCCATGTATTGACTTTGAGTTTTCTTAATTTTGTTTAAATTTCCAACTATCTAGGGTTTAGGTGTATACATTATCTTAGCACGCAGTTTTAGCTACAAAACATGAGCTTTTGGCTCAAATGATCTCATTTAGAACCTGACTGCTGAATTGATCAAAATTATACATGAGCAACACATCAATAGAAATTTGACAATATAACGATCAGAAACTGATAACATACTAAAAATTGATCATTTCAGTAATTAGAATTTAAAAAAGAGCTTTAGACTAAATGATCCACTTTTAACGTTTGATTATTAAGCAATGATCTGTTTTTAGCATGTTGTTGGTATATAATCCATCTATCGTCGATACTTGATTCAACCATTTAAGCAATCAAACGTATAAAATTGATCATTTTAGCTAATTACCTAAAATGATCATTACCAATTGTGGACAAAATATTGCAAAGTGGATCATATTTCCCCGTGCAGATGGAGCCATCATTGTCCCCCATTTTCTATGATAAGCAGTATTTTATTTCATTTTCAACATTAATGAAGTCGATTAATTTGCGATCATCCGGAAGACTAGACGTGGATTGGCTAATTTTAATAATGTTTAATAATAATAGGTATCTATTAGTAGAAATTTAAGTGACACCCTTATGCTTAAGCTTATGGAGCATGAGTTATATGAACACCAGCAACTGTTGTTGCTTTTATATGTGGCCTTGACTTTGTATTCTCACTTTAATTAAGCTACCCTTGAAAACTAATTAGAGTATAAATATATTCTTAATTGTATTGGGATCCTACAAGTTGACCTCTACAATTTTCTAAATGTAATAATTTCTAGATTAAAGTTTGATATGTTGGAAGCTAAGATCTTTAGAGGATCTTAATCTTTATCTTGCAATGGTATTCACTAACTTAATAGTTCAGTTGACTTATGTTTAAGCCTTAGAGGAATGTCATTCGAACCCGCACTAGAGTGAATAGGTATTATTACTTTTCGCAACTGCGATAAAGTATTATTTGCAACAGATACTGATTAATCCCACTTTAACTTGCCTTTCTGAAAGTCTAAATAGAATTCATCAAAGAAATATATCACTTGATAATTGATCCAATGTTGGATACATTTTTCTCATCCGGTGTAGGATACATCATTCGATCCATAATTTTTAACAATATTCACATGAAAATAATTATGACATACCCTATTATTTAAAACCCTATGGATCAAATGGATAATAATTGGAAGTCTAACTCCATCATGGGTCACGTATTGTCTTTGTTCCCTACATACATATGATATAAGATGACTTTAAATTTACAATCATAACCATCATCCATGATATATATGTACCACTCACTTGTCTGGAGAAGAGGCTCGACCTATGGCCACCATAAAACGATATTATTATCTCCAACTTAACCATTAAAATTGTGTATGGGGTTTATGTTTAAAGGTTTTGGCAGAAATTAAGGGGATGTCTTGCTTGATATATCAATGATGGCAGCTTGATTCATGCTTCCTATACTACCTTTAAATGTAATTGGGTGCTCGAGGCGTATGATGACATACAATCTGTCTAAAATCGATCAAATTGCCATGCACCCTACCACCCCGCAATGAATATTAAAATGTAAAAACCTCCTCCATTGTTAAGGGCCATCTCTCAATTGAGATAGAATAATACATACACACACACACTAATGCAAAGTAATATAATATAATTGATGCAAAGTAATACAATAGAATAATGCGATATTGAAATTATAACTTTTTATTTATTCAAAATGAACTTACAGAAACCTTGACTAAAAGATTTTATTGAAGAGTTGCAAGAAAATAAACCGAAATAAATCATAGTAATTGTACTAATTTCTCTGAAATTGAGAAAATAAATCTTGAAATTAAAAAACGTTATGTCTAAGGCTTTCGAGCCTTGTATTTATAGGCTGGAGCTTGAGTTATTGAAAGAGTGATTGTTGGAGCACGCGTGAATAGAGGCTTGTCCGAATAATTAACTTTTACTGTTAATTTTAGATGTGTAATAATTCTGCAAACGACATCACTGTAGATAAATAGTAACTTGTTAGAACACTATTTGACATTTTTTGTCCTAGATGAATAGCGACCGAGAATAATTGTCTTCAAAATTCCTTGTCTTCATTAAGATCATATGGATCTTTAGAATCTTGATAATATGCCCATCTTAACTTCTGAGTAGGAGAACCAACCTTTTGACTGGAAGATGAGGCTTGCCAAGAAGTTTGTTGTTCTTCTTCGTCTTCTTTGCCCCATTTAGGAAACTTGGGGGGGTGTTTGTTTGATCTTCTTAGGTGGGATTGGACTAGACTACACTATAGTCTGATGTTTGGTATGGACAAGGATTAGATCCGACTCGCACGGATTAAACCCTTCGCTAGGAGTTCCTAGTGAAGCACCCAAAAAACGCCCGGATTCGTAAGACCTCATGCGCTCCTACTAGAGAGATCATCGCTCATCCTGCGAGAGAGTGTCGTTGATGGCCTCCTCCCTCACCTTCTCCTCCTCATCGCCTCTCATCGCCCACAATCTCATATATTTCTTCCTGTCCCTCCCAATCGTTGAAGAATCTAGAGCCTCCCTCGTCGTCCAAATCAGCAAGCTCATCTTCTCTGGATCCTCAACGTTATATGGTTCTTCCTATTCGAATAGCCGAAGCCCTCAATTCCTGAGACTTGGAGCTCGCTCGATTTGACCGA